AAAAATACCCTTTCTTATTTATTTATGCTAATTTTTTATGGTTTATTTAAATACAAAGGCACACTAATATGTACAGATATAGTAATAGAGATAATTACCCTATCATTTGACTCGTATAATTTATACCAAAGAGTATGTTCTTGTAGAGATTGTTATGTTTTAGTCAGTTGCAACTGCAGCAGTAGAAAAGAAAATTATATTAGTATCACACTTTATTGGCATTATAATACCTCAATATTGTCCAATGTAATGCTAATAAAGTGTGATACTAGGGTATCAGTTAATTAGTTAGAAGTTTCATATGTCCATGAAATATGTGATATAATACTCATTAATATTTAACAACAATATATTTTAAATAATGTTAATATAAATAAAGTTAATAAATATTTTCCAATGTGATATTAACTACTTTTAATTTCTAAATGAAGACTGTTAAGTATATAGTATGCTGCTTAAAAAATATGTTTTAATAATATTAATACAATTTGAAAAAAATTATTTCCAGTTATTTTAAGATTGTATTACACAAATTATGTAACCATGTTATTACATTTAATTAGAACTTTAATCAGAGCTCCTATGTTGTATACAAAAATACAAATTATATTTATTGCTTATTTTAAAAGAGTTATAATATTAATATTTTCAAAGCACACATACACATGTTCTGTGAAAAATGTGTTATAAACGCTTTTCTATGTGTAATCCCAATACCACCTTCTTCTCGATTAAAAGCAGCCTCAAATACTTCATCTTGTATATATTCTTCTTCAATTTCTTCTAATGGTGGAATATCATGATGGATATATATTATGTAGTACAGCAGTAGCACAGATAATTACAACTCATTTTGTCCTTAAGCCATAATATAAACATGGAAAGCGCCGTTTCCATTCTCCGAATAGTTGTTTAACTCTGGTATTCTTATGCGCATTATTATACTTAACTTCTGCATCGTTATTGGATCTCAAAACAGGAGTCATTAAATATTTTCAACGTGGATATCCACTATCTTGAAGTAAAATTTCATTTAAAAGACCCAAATTCGGAATGACAAAATACATCAAATATATAAAAAATAATATATATTTGACAAGCAAAAGAAAACAAAGTTTTCGTACTCGAAAGCTAGTTGCACCAAATCGTAAAGTTATTAAAAGCTGCATTAATGGAAAAATCGGCAATCCACGATTATCGATTCATAATATCTGTTCATTTACCAGTGTGTAATATCAAACATCTTTTATCAAATCTATACCGTTTTCTAAAAGGTACATCTTCATAAAACTCAATAGGATTTTCGCAGTCTCAAATAATCAAACTTTGATGATAGCACTGAAATCACAATTTTAAAGAAAAATCTAGTATTATTGAGTTCTAAATGCATAAATACGTCTACTAAACTAATAAATCATAAAATTAGTACAATATTATCAATTTTTAACTCTTAATTACTTCAATATTCACAAGAACGCGAACTTCCGTAAGGATGTCGGTCTTTAATAGTATCTCGTCGGTGGTAATAGTAACTAGTACTTTTCCAATTAGTAACTTTCTATCGAATTATCTCAATTTCGACGATGCGTATGAACATAAATATACGATATGAGTATTTAATTAATTATTCTGATGCACATTGTACCAATTTAGTATATCGTTCTTTAAATACGTTGAAATTAAGATAATTTAATAGAAAGTTACTAGTTAGACGTAAACGGGATCACGCATAGTTTGGAACCATTTCGAACACCTGGCGTCTGTAAAATGGCATCCCTGATCGCTCCGCGATGCGATGTTTCGTTTTGAGGTTAAGTATCGATCAGTGCGCTGGCGCCGTCTCGGCAGCGACGGGGACGCGAGAGTGACGCTCGTCATGTTTCCATCCCGGTGGATCTCGCCGACCCGCGCGAGTTAGGAGTCGGTGCTTCCGCTACGATGACAGTGTGCTGATCGCTACAGCGAAACATGGCGCAGTCTATCCTCGATGTTCTGACAGGTAAGGCGAGCGTCGACCGAAATAGGCGGGGTTCACCGATCCCGGAAACGTCAACAATTCACCTCGAGCCTTCGTTCCTCGGGCATGGAGTAGACTGTCGTTTTCTTTCTGCATCGCATCTCCACGAGCTCGTCTTGCGACGACAATTTCAAGTACGCTAGGTAGTACGAGAGACTGAGAGTGCGCAGATTTTTAGGGTTTGAAAGATATGGAAAATGGGGGTCACCGACTTAACCTGCCTCGATGCATCTTATAAATTTGTAGCGATCTACGCTTTGTGTACTCTCAGAACCGTGCTCCATTTTATAATCTGAAGATGCTTGTAATTATTATTTGTTCTTGTTTAATTATTTGAATATTAAAGTGAGTAAGGCTCTGGAATAATAATTCAAAGCCTAGGAAGAAAACCTACAAGAACCAACACAGTTATTCGTGTATGAATTGTTTTGTGTATTTACCAGGAGATGGAAGTACAGTAACTCCGTTATTTTTTACTGTTATTTTTTATAATAACGATTTGATAATAACATTGCAATTTTTTATGACTGTAACAATAACTAAATGCTAAGGTTGTATCAAGGTTGGAGAAGTCACTTTGAAAAGTAATGTGTCACCACTATGCGTTTTTACTGAAAAAAGTAATTTGTTACTTGTAATGCACATTACTTTATTCGTTACAAGTAATTTTAATATAATAGTAAAAGTAACTTGTTGCAACAAGTTACTTTTTTTTTAGTAACAAATAACTTTTCCAATTTATTATAATTACTGACTTTCAACTCTGGTTACCATTATAAAAAATTTGCAACGTCATAGCCAAATCGTCATCATAATAAAGTAACGATAAAAAATAACACATATTCTATTTCCTGGTATATGTATTTACATTAATTAGTATTGAACAAGGTAATAGTTTATCTTGTTTAATTATACATTGAAAATTTAAGTAAGTAAAGGCTCTGGAATAATAATTCGAAGACTAGAAGAAAAGTTTGTAACATGTTATTCATATATGCATTATTGTATGTATTTGCAATAATTGATATACAATGAATAATGTAGTTGTTTTTGTTTAATTATATATTTGAAAATTAAAATAAGGCTCTGAAATAATAATTTAAAAGCTAGAAGGAAAGCCTATAAAAGTGAACACAGTTATTTGTAAATAAATTATTATATGTATTGACAATAATTAATATATATTGAACAATCATATTGCAGTTGGTTCCAGGGATTTGATCCTCTTCAGTGCATATTATACATATATAAGAAAATTATGATTACTAAGTTAGGATCCATAAATTCTCTAGTCATGTAGCCAAAAGAGTCAAATTGTTAAAAAATTGAAGTCATCAATGGAAATATGATAAGTCTAATTGTTGAGATTCGTTATAGTTTATCATAGAATTTAAAATAGAAAAACTAATACGTACATTTATATAAATTAAGAAATGAAATTGAATTTAAGTCAATGATTAAAATAAGAAGAATGAACGATTTAATTAATTAATTAAGAAACTAATTATATAAATAAGTGAACAATTGTATTTCATAATTATTTAATGATTTTACAGATGTCTCGCTGGACGGCTCCTCTGTGCAATCCTTGCTGGAATCTCAAAACCTGATAGCTGAAGTCGAACAGTCAGGTAATACTTCAGAGGATGAATCTGATGATAAATCTCTAAAAAATAAAAAAAAATGTCATAGATTATTTAGATTCCATTTTTTGAGTTATACTAAATTAAGAAACTTATTCAAAAAGTATTTGTCTTTCACAATAAAGCATAATCCTGATATAATTTGACATTATATTATTATTGTAATATAATAATGTAATAGTTATGGTTTTAAGATTTGCTATAGTAAAACAGCGCAAATCAAACAGTTTAAATATTTTTTAAAATCTATTATAAGTAAAAAGTAAATTTGTTTGTTTATTGATTTTTACTTTAGATTTATTCTTTAAACATACAATTGAGATGTATTTACGAGTTATTGTGTATTATAATTGCTATTTTATTTTGAATTGATTTCAAATATCTGCATTTATGTAAATTTACCTCTTTTAGAGATAATTATACAAAAGATTCTAGACAGGAATTAGAATAAACGTTTTTTTTTTAAATTTGACAAAATTATTACATATTTTAACGAATAATGTAATCTAAACCCAAATCAATTTCTCATTATCTAAGAGATTATAATTTAACAATCAAATTGAACTAAGTTACAAATTTAAATTTCAATGATAGAATTTTTAATATTAACAGCGCGAAAATTTGAAATGTATTTAATTATGTTATATCCCCTCCTAAAAAATATATTCTCTGAAAAAAATATCTGACATTTTTTTCATGGTATAGAAAGATATGTATTTCAACTTTAGGTAATCTACTAACTAATTATTTTGAAAAGAGAGACAAATTTTTATGAATATTCCAAATATATTCCAAATATTCCAAAAATAACATAATTATGTATATGTTAATTATATCTCACATATTGCACATATCGTTTATTACATAATATCTTCACCAGCGATTGATCAGGATGAGGAAGACATATTCCAATGTGGCAAATGTAAAAGTCAATTTACGTCACTCCAACTGTTCATACTCCACAAGAGAACGCACCAGAAAACGCAGCAGCAAACAGTAGACTTGACTCAATTTCTAACAAACGATGAGAGTCAGGTAATGCATGTGGAAGATGTCGTTCAAGATGAGTCGCAGTATAATTCGCAGGAAACCTTTCAGCTTGGAGAACCTATTATTCTCGAAGAAGCAGACATGCTATTTAGGTATGTTATCATTGATAATTGTAATTAATTCGAAATTTGAATTAAATATTTTTGTGTCGCCTTGAATATATAGATTATTCCTTGCTTTTGTACCAATTTATTCTTTAATATGTATTATCTTTTTTTTTAATCTGTTCTGAATTGTTATAGTGTGGATCAGGAGGCTGCTAATTATTTCATGACAGACTCCACATTCAGCGTGCCGATTATTTTGAGTACAGAGAACCTGGATACTTTCGATAATGCTGCCATCGAGGCGACGAGGGAAGATTCAAGCGAAGTGCCGACGATACTGCAAAACGACATCAGTTCACAGGAGGATGCTTCGAGTCAATCCGAACATCCTAGCGCCTCGTTGACGGATAACGAGCCATCTCTAGCGGACAATGAGCCACCTTTAGAGGACAACGAATCCTCTCTTGAGAACAACGAGACATCCCTCCAGGATAATTCACTCAGTGTATCAGAAAATGGCATCAATCGAACGCAGAACTTAAGGGTACCATTGTATTGATGGCTTTCTGTTTCCAAAACAGAAAGTAAAATTTATAAAATTTAGTTCCATAATTTTAAATTAAATTGTAATTAATGTTTTTATATTATTTAATTATAAAATTTAATTTAATTTAATTAAAGTTTAATGTGAGACTTTAATTATAGTAACAAATATAATGTAAATCTGTTTCCAAATAATTTTTTTTTAATGCGAATTTATTTAAATTACTAAATAAATTATACAGAGGTCAGAGATTAATGTGAATTTTTTATATTAAGATGCACATATTCGATTACGTCATTGCAGTATAAATGCGGTTATTGCAACAAGCAGTTTGCAAAAAAATTCTATTGGCAACAGCACGAACGTTCTCATACTGGAGAAAAGCCTTATCAATGCGTAGTATGTGGTCGTGCATTTGCGCAAAAATCAAACGTAAAGAAGCATATGTCCTCGCACAAAGTATGGCCTGGTACCGCTATTCACTCATTACCACCAGAGGTACAAAATTTTTAATTAAATTAATTACTAAGATTTATTTATTTTTTTTTTTTTTTTGAATTTTTACGAAGAGAAAATTTATGAATATTTTTTTTATAAAAATGTTTCCTTGCAAGAGAGAGAGAGAGTAAGAACATTTCTAAGAAAAAATTGTTTTAAATATTATATTAGTTTTAAGGCACTAAGAGTTTAAGCACAGATATTAAACACAATTTAATTGTAATTATATATAATTTTGTACTCATTAATATTTATATTGTTTATTTTTACCTATTATTTTTTTATATATCGTTTTAATCATATCCTTCTGAATACTTTTAGGCGCCTCCGGACGGAAGTATCGACCGCACATACCATTGTCAATTCTGCAAAGAAACGTTTGATTCGTACAAAGCTCTAAAAGGCCATCTAATTGTCTCGCATCTGGCACTGAAAGTGTACAAATGCGTTCAGAGCAGCTGTAGTATGATGTTTTCGGATCTGGAGGAGTTCCTCGAGCACACGCGCAACCACAAGTGCTCGGAATACCGATGTCACGTGTGTGGTGAAGTGTTCAGTACTCTGTCGGATCTTGGTGGCCATCAGTACGTCCACTCCGTCCAGAAGCAGAAGACCACGGAGAAGTATTACTGCTGCTCGACTTGCAAATCGTCATTTTCGAATCTGGAGGCATTGCAGCACCATAAGGAAACCACCACACACAACTATGCATGCCTGCATTGTGGTAAAAGCTTTCTCATCGAGAGATTTCTGCGCCGTCATCTCAAAACTCACTCGGCATCGGCGAGATTTGTCTGTGAGGATTGCGGCAAAGCTTTTAAAACCGAGCAGTATCTGGCTAACCATAAGCTTATACACAGCGAAGAGACGCCTTTTACATGTCCGGTAAGTAAGAATAATTGCAATGAATATATAAAATTAAGATTTTAATGATATTCAACGTATACTCCAAAAGGATATATTTTGTGGAAGTAAAATACTGTGGCGACTCGCCACCAGAGGTCCAACGGGACTCGCTCGGATTCGCGTTAGCATCGCAGCCATGCGAATTCCCTTTAAATAGAACATCAATCTAAATTCATTCGAGGCGTTTCGTTGTGTGTAGGATAAGGCAGGTCCTACACTATATCGCTTTACTGATGGAGTCTAGTAGTGTGGGACCGGAAAGAAACGCTGCGGCCGATCAAAAAGCTTCGAGTCAGGCCTCCTTAATGGACATGAACATCATTCGTACAGATATTCACACATACATTTAAAATGCTAGGCAATTTTCACAATTAAGCAATTAGATTAGATTAATATTATAATTATTATTTAGATATAGATGTTTTTTTAATAACATAAAAAATAAATTCTTGGATATAACCTAGTGCTTGGATATAACATAGTGCAGCAAAAAATCTATAAACATTAAGAAAACTTTAAAATTGATTTTTGACTCTTTTATGACCAACTGACTTGATTCACTTTGCCTCCACTCTTTGTACTAAGTCTTTGAATATTTATTACCGGAAACAGAATTTGAAAAAGTTAAGCTATTTCTGAAAAACCTTATAAATAGGAAAATGAACGAACGAACAAAGGGACTAACACTGAAAATGAAATTATAAGCTTTACTATACTGGCACTTAATAAACTGAAATATAGTTGCATATTGTTTATTGATGTTTGTACTTTATATTTTAAATCACAGCATTGCCCAGCCAGATTCAAGCGGAAAGATCGACTGGGCCGGCATATGTTGATCCATGATTTGACAAAGAGACTTAAGTGTCCGTTTCGCAATTATTTGGGCTGCATGAGTGAGTTTTCGCGGCCAGACAAACTCAAACGGCATCTGCTGACGCATAGCAATGTCAAACGGTTTAGTTGCAGCCACTGCAATCGCAACTTCCACCGAGCGCAAGCTCTTAAACATCACGAAATAAATAAGCACAGCCTTAAATGTGACATCTGCTCCCATGTGAGTCCTATTTCTTAATTCATGTAAACACAAAAAACTTCAATCAAATAATTCTTCTACAGCTGACTATTAACATTACGTAGGCCTTTAAGACTAAGGAGCAATTGGTTACTCATAATTGCGAACAATCAAATGAGACCAAGAAGCACAACTCTCAACTACCGAAAAAAGCGTCTGGATCATTTAAGCCGAGGAAACCCACCCCAAAGAGACAAACATTATCAAAGACTGCAATCCCGCTTGCCGACAAAGAGAAATTAGACAAGCTTAAGACTGATGAGATGGAAAGAAAGGTAATTTATATCATATAATTAGACCGCTCTTTCTGTTTTCATTTTTTTTATTGCATTTCAATCTCCTATTCCTGCTTTATATTCTTCTCATTTAAAGATTGTTAATATATCATTCCGCTTAATTTTTTCCCTTAAATCTTATATCTTTTTCTTTCTCTGTGTCTTTTAATCATATCACATCTTTCTCAATTGTAGATTGCCTCCGAAACATTCATATCTGGTGATATCGACGAGGAAGCCAACAAGAGAATGGAAAATATTCCTCCCGTCTTGAAAACAGAATCAACTGGCGGTGAATTAAATGAGCGATCCGACTCGCCAGTTACGGACTTCGAGAACGATTTCAAACGCAACATGGAATTTTACTCGCCCCATGCGAGCGAGTAAAATTTTGCAATATACATATATATATATATATATATATATATATATATATATATACATGCATATATATTTTTTTTATTCGTATTTAAATTGTACATCAATTAGAATGTAGACGAATCGTCGTAGTATGTGCAATGGGATCATCGGCGAAGGTGCAAGTTGCATTTTATATTCGCGCGTACGGTATTTTGTAGTTTACATATCTGTGATAATTGTATTATAATGCTCTATCGATATAAGTAACTTATATACATTTAGGCGCACGCCGAAGACGTTCGGTGTCGCTGATTTCGATTCTTCTATGAGAAACTCGTCGTATAGACACAGCTATAGTTATAATTGATACTCCTGAAGTATCTTTTCGAACACTTACGTTCGTTAAATTTTTTTACGATTACAAAGTCATACGTATGATATCAGAACTGTAACGAAACGTTTGACAACGCGACATCTTTTTAATTTATTTGTTATAAAATAATAAATCTAGACGAGAAGTCACAAATGCGAAGATGTAAAATAACTTTTAAGAAAATATCAATTTTATGAAATAGTCAAAGTTTGTATTCAATTTTATGAGCCGAAGTATAACTGTCCTTGAAAATTCCTTTAAGTTTGATTCCTGATTAATTAGCGCTCCTTCAACTACAACATTTAAACTAATAATCTCATCAAATCCAAATTAATTTATCAGTTTCTTAAATGCAAATTAATATTTGCATAGTATTTAAGTAAATTTTTTTTATATTGCATGATAAAAGGTTAAATTTACTAGCTCAAAATCAAACTTTGTTGTGTAAGCTGTTATCTTGTGATAATTCTTGTGATATTTGGAAGGAAGCGGTTAGCAAAACCGCAATCTTTGAAAGATTAGGGGCAAGAGTACGTCGCATATGCTTTAATATAAGAATCGAGACTTTTTTTAGTTAGACAAATGTAGTGTTCAAATTAACGTATATAGTCGCTAGTTAACCGAGTTGAAGGAACCATGCCATTTCGTAAAACATATCAGATTAACAATCGGGAGCAGGGCAAGGCTGCTCAACGGGATCAGTCATATAGAAGCTGTCTCATTGCCCTGCTCATTTTCTTCTTCATGTGCCTTATCCTTATCCTTGCCTGCAAACCCTGGAAAGTGCAGAAACAAAGAGAATACAGGGAGCCATATATTAAACATGACTCACAGGTATGATATTGAATAGAATATCTTTAGACAAATGTAGATCTAAGAAAATGGTATAAAAAAATAAAAGAAATTTATTTACAAGTCTAAAGAAATTTCACAGAAGCCATTACAAACTTTATACAATTTTTTCTTATTCATGTTTTTTATTCATGTTTGTTTCAATTATACTGACACACTTTTTTTAACAAAAAATTTTAATTAATTTTGAGTGAATAATTTTATTGGGTATTTTAAACAGCATTATCCTCAAGAACACCCAAACGAAACAACAATTCTGACTGTTTCATTAACAACATCAACAACAACAACTCAAAATACTCTGACAGAAGAGACAGTTTTAGCAAGAACTTGGATTATCCCAGTGAATACATCCATTGCAGAAAATAGACCAACAGAAGAAATCAATGTCATTACTGAAGATTATTCGAAGAAGAATGTTAAAGGATCTCATCATTTTGAGCGTTACTTTGAAAATTCGACGAGTATTGATGAAATAACATTGTCTCCTCCTGTATCTCAAAAAAGTATTGAAGATTATACTTCGAATGAAATCTTTGAAAATGTAGAAACTACAGAAAAAAACATCGACTTG